CGCCCAAAGACTGGAAGAGGAGGAGGAGAAAAAGGCGTCTTAGAAATGAAAATGAGTAGAAGGATTTGTTACCTATGGACTGACCCTCCAAGTATAAACAAAACTGCCGAAATGAAGTCATGTCAGGAAATCATGGATGATGAGGAAGTCGAAGAGGGAGTAATGGTGGCATGGAGGGAGAGAGGGAGAAGGAGGGAGGGAGGGAGGGAGAGAGGGAGAAGGAGGGAGACAGGGAGAAGGAGGGAGAGAGGGACAAGGAGGGAGGGAGGGAGGGAGAAGGAGGGAGGGAGCGAGAAGAGAGAGGGAGGGAGGAGAGCAAGATAGCAGGGAGGAGGAGGAGGCTTACCTATCCCTATACTATAGAACAAGCAGGACCAGAGCGTCAGATGTTTAGTGATGATGAGGAGCTTGAGGTTTACAGCTATCACGAGAGCCTGTAGTATGGCCGTCCCCTGCGGCCCGAGCCCCATTTCCCTCCCCTCCTCCTCCACGATGCTCCCCAGGAACGTCCTGGCGATGACGAAGAAGCAGATGACAGCGTGCAGGATCGCGTGCAGGATCCACTCGGTAAGGACTCTGCCGTTGAAGTCAAGCCGCTGCTGCCCCGAGCTGTAGAGCTGGGGGTAGAGGAGGGAGGAGGAGGAGGAGACGTCTTGCTCCAGCACACCATACGCGATGATGCCCATGGAGGACCAGAAGATGTTGAAGCCAGCAATCATGAGCGAGTCATACAGGGCTGCGGCAGTGAAGCCGCTGTAGAAGGAGAAGAAGAAGAGTGAGGTGACGAAGAAGCAGTTCTTGTAGAGCGAATAGGCGATCACGACGGCGATCCTCTTGTAGTTGCTCCTCCCATGAACCAGCAGCAGCTTCTCTAGGAACCGGAACTGAGCGATGGCATAGTCCGACGACCGCACTGCCTGCATCCCCTCGTTTCCGCTGATCCCAACGCCCACATGCGCCTCCATGATCATGGGGACGTCGTTGGCCCCGTCCCCGATGGCGAGAGACAGGGGTCCTCCCTCCTCCCTCCTCATCACCGTCACCACCTGGCGTTTCTGGTCCGGCGACACGCGGCAGGCGATCACGGCCTTACATCCTCGTGCCACCTCCACGAACTCTCGGAGCAGCGCTGCCTCCTCGCTGCCTCCTCCTCCTCCTCCTCCTCCTCCGTCCTCGTCAGCAGCAGCGAAGATGTGAAGGAGGGAGGCTCCGTCGACCACCAGTGCCCTCTCCTTCCCTCCCTTGTCCTCCCGCCCCCCCCACGCCTGGCTCAGCCTCTTCACCTCCTCCTTGGCGCGCGCGAGGGAGTCAACAGAGATCCTCTCGATGTTCATGTTGTCATGCAGAAGGTTGCAGGCGAACCCGATGTTCTCCGCCGTCTCCATCTTGTCCCCAGTCAGCATCCACATTCTCATCCTCGCCTTCCGCAGCTTCTTGATAGTCGCTGGCACCCCCTCCTGCAGTTTGTCCTCAATCGCCGTCACCCCAACCAGCCTCATCCCCTGCTCGATCATCTCTGCCGCACGCATCATCTCCTCCTCCCGATCCACCAGCGACGTCGACGCCGCCTTGTACGCCTCGTTCCACTTGCTCCACTGCTCCTCGCTCAGCCTCCTCTTCCCCAGCACCAGCGTCCTCAGCCCCTCCATGGCGTACCCGTGCAGCACCCGCTCCACTCTCTTCCTCTCCTCCTCCTCCATCTTGAGCCTCTCCAACATCACGTTGTCTGCTCCTTTGCACAGCAGGAGGAGCTCCCCGCTCCCCGTGCGGCAGACCACAGACATGCGCTTCCTTGCAGAGTTGAACTTGTTCACGTTGAGGATCTGAAATCTCTCCTCCTCCCCCGCACGTTCACCACGTGCTCCGTCGCCGTCTTCCCGCAGAAGCAGAAGCCCAGCACTTTCGCTGCTGTCACCAGCGCCCCTCATCAGGCGACTCTGCCTTGTAGAGCACGCTAGACGGGTCCTTACTCCCCTCCGGCACCACCGTGTGGCAGACAGAGAGGAGGAGGAGGAAGTCGCGGATCTCCGCAGCCTCCCTGTGCCCCTCCGCCATCCTCTCGACGATCCTGTAGTCGTCGAACGAGCACTTGGCATCAGGAAAGATCTGAGCCCTCCGCCTGTCAGCATACTTCTCCTCCTCCCCCTCCCCCCCTTCCCTCCTTTCTCCTCTCCCTCCTCCTCCTCCTCCTCCCTCCCCTCCCTCCTTTTGCTTGGCAGCAGCGGCAAGCCCGATCTCTGTGGTGCCGAACCCGTAGGAGGAGGAGCCGATGTAGCACTTCCTGAACTCCATCTCGTTCCTTGTCAGGGTGCCTGTCTTGTCGGTGAAGATCTGCTGGATCTGCCCGAGCTCCTCGTTGAGGTTGGAGGTTCTTGACGTCATCGGCGTGTCTGTCGCCTCGTGGTACATGTCCAGGTCGTTGTCCATGAGAAACTTCTGCCCGAGCTTTACCAGCTCCCTGCGGTGAAGGTTGGAGGAGGAAGAGGAGGAAGTAGGAGGAGGAGGAGGAGGAGGAAGTGATGATGATGATGGAGGAGGAGGGAGGAGGGAGGAAGGAGACAGGTGGAGGGAAGGAGAGAGATGGGAGGGGGTGGGGGGGGAGGGGCTGAGATAGAAGGAAAGAACTCACATGGTGATGTAGAGGGAGATGGGAACGTAGTTGTTGAGGAGGATGAAGTAGGAGAGCCATATCGCAGCTTTCTCTCCATTGCTCTCGTTCTCCAGGTACGGCATGTACCAGGTTGCGCTGTTCTTTCCACTAGCCCAGATCGCATGTCCGATGGTTCTGAAGGGGAGGAGCAGGCAGGGAGTCAGAGACCATGGAGGAGACGAGGAGATGGATGGGGGAGGAGGGAGGGAGCACAGTTGGTAGAGGAGAAGAGAGGAGCAAGAGGAGAAAGCAAGGAGAAGCAAGGAGAGGAGGAGGAGGAGGCGGCAGCAGGTGACGATTGAGAAGGAGGAGCGAGGCCATTGGAGGTGAAATGGCGAATTGAGAAGCAAGAAGGGACAGTGGGCAGGAGAAAGGTAGGGAGGAGTGGGCAGGAAGAGGAGGATGGTAGAGGGCGAGCGATAATGAAGGAGGAGGAGCAGGAGAGAGGAGAGAGGAGAGAGGAGGAGGAGAGAAATCCAGCAGCGTACCCGATGCAGCACATTGCCAGCTCGAACAAGAGGATCCCAGCAAGGATCCTGTTGGTGCTGTGCTCTACGTTGCTCCTCTTCAGCTTCCCCTTCTTGTTGTTCATCATGATCTTTGTCTGCCTCCCCGCGTACACCACCACTCCGATGACCCACTTGGTGTTTCGCAGCACGGCCCCCCGCAGGAGCACTGACTCGTTGTCCACTGCGATCTCCTCCTTTCCCATCCTCAGCTTTCCCAGGAAGGTGTAGAGCCGCTGCGAGGTGACTCAGAGGAGGATGGGGAGGGGGAGGAGATGGTGGTGCTAGTGGAGAGCGAGGCTAGGGAGGTTGTGTGTGGGGAAGAGAGGAGGAGGGAGGAAGGAGAGAGAAGAAAGAGAGGGAGGGGGGGGGGAGGAAACGAGCAACAGGAAGAAGATGGCAGTCAGTCACTGTGCTGACCTTGTTCGGCGCTTCATACTCGAGCTCAGCCTTCATCTTCCTCACCGCACTCTCGCCTGCCTGTCCAGGAGGGAAGGCGACGGAGGACTTGAGCTTCAAGTTTGTTTCCCCGTCCAAGTCGCACGTGTCGATGTAGCAGGCCCCTCCCTCCTCGCTGGAGCACAGCACCACGACGTCCGCAGGGAGCGGCTCGTCCTTGCCCACCTTGACCATCGTCCCCACCACCAACTCCTTCCATGCGCACAGCTCCTCCTCCTCATCCGCCGGCAGCACGTGTGCGTACCTGTTGTTGACCTCCCGGTCGTCCCGATGCCTCGCCGAGTCCTCCCACACCTCCCTGATCATGTTTGCGCTCACTACAAGCAGCAGGGGCCCAGCGGTGCTGTAGCGGCTGGTGGGGGAGAGGCTGGTGAAGAGCTGGAGGATGGAGATGATGAGGAAGTAGATGTTCGCCAGCCTCGAAAACTATAAAGGCAGCAGAGGTCAGTAGCCAGGAGCAGCGAGGAGGAGAGAGGAGAAGTAGCACGCACACGAGGCAGCACGGAGAAAGTGAGGTAGGAGGAGGGAGGGAGGGAGGGAGGGAGGGTGGGAGGGAGGGAGGGAGGGGAAAACAAACTGAAGGGAAGGGAAGCAGTAGGGTTCAAACGAGCAGGAGGAGGAAATGGCAGAGGGGGTTGAGGAGGAGGAAAGAGAGGAGGGGAGAGGATGTATAGAAGCGTGAAGTTTTACCTGCTCGTAAAGATTGACAGGCAAAAAGTTGTAGAGGTTGTATTTGCTCGTCGCAACCATGTTGTTGAAAATCTTCTTCCCCACCTGCAAGTCCACCTTGAGTGTAAGCGACTTCCGGAACAGCAAAGAGAGCAGGGGCAGGAGTAAGAGAAGCAGCAGGAGAAGTAGCAGGAGCAGGAACAGGAGTTGGTGGTGGAGGAGTAGAAGGAAGAGAGAGCAGGAGGAAGAGTAGAAAAGAGAGGAGGAGGAGGAGGAGGAGGAGGAGGAGGAGGAGGAGGAGGAGGAGGAGGAGGAGGAGTAGAAGCAGCAGCAGCAGCAGCAGCACCTTAGCATGCTGCTTGCGATATTCCAAGTTCCACTCCTCGTCGTTGATTCGCAGGCACCACGGCTCGCCCTGCAACCCGTTACAACATCCGTTATAAATACCGCAACGCCGTAACGCACCTCAGACATGCTGTGGCTGGAGAGGCCGTTCTGCGCCCGAGGTTGAGAAAGCTTGCGATACTTGGTCTCGTCCAATTCCAGATCGGAGAAAGACTCCTGGTCGTCCTCCCGCTCCTGCTGTCCCTTTCCCGACTCACCTTCGTCCGACTCGCCCTCCTTCATCATCTCAAACTCCACCTCCTCGTCTGAAAGCTCTTCCGATCGGTGCCTGGCGGAGGATTGAGCCGCTGCAGTGGACGCTGCCTTCCCCTCCCTCCCTCGCTCCGAGAGCTCTCTGGTCAGATCCGCTCTGCACTCTAGCGACGGGCAGACTTTCCAGTCAGCTCTAGCAAGGTGGACGTCAGCAACTTGAAGCCATACCCTCGATCAGCAAGGAACCTGACGGGAAGGTCACAGCTCCAGCATCTTGACCAGTTCTGCGTCGGGGAGAAATCAATCAGATGCTGGTGACTCAGCAAGGCAGGCTGGAACCTGCCACTTAGACAAGTCGAACCGATGAGACCTTGCCCGCTTCCGACTCTCGGAGACTGACAGGACGAGCCTGGAGAGGTCTTTGCCTGCACGAGAGTTGAGCCACACTTGTGCCGTGCTCTTGCATCTTCAACCTCTGGAGGAAACTTTGTGCTCAGATCGTGTCCTGTCCGTACCAAAGACTGGCCTGCCGCTCAAAGATCACAAGAAGTTGGAGGAATCATGAGGTAAGAAATGTGAGTAGCTGATTGTTGGGAAATCAAGCCTGAGAAAGAGCTAGAATGAAAAGGTGAGAATCACGCTATTCTCACCTTCGGGTTTTCCTATCCCTCTTGGTGTGCATGTAGAGGAATGCTTGGTCACCGCCGACATCAGGCCCGTCCATCGCTTCAGTGCCACTCTCCCGCCTGCAGCTGTTGTTTCCCTCCTCCACTTGCTTCTCTTCTACTGTGCAGGTAGCAAATTCACTCAATGTTACAATTAGTTCTCTTCCCCTCTTGTCGACTCCCTGCTGTTGCTGCTCCTCTTACTTCTTCTTCTCTTTCTCCTCCTCCTCCTCCTCCTCCTCCTCCTCCTCCTCCTCCTCCTCCTCCTCCTCCTCTCGCCATCTCCTACTCCCTGCCCCTTCTCCTCGTTTCTTTCTCCTCTCCCACAGAAATGCACTCACAACAACAATCAAAATACCCCCACCCCCTCTTTCACCTCAACGAACCCTCCACCCTAGCATTCACCGTTACTTTCATGATAATGGACCCGTACTTTACCAACGAATCAAATAGCCAAGTACCCCCACCCCTTCCTGTCCCTCCTAATTTTGATTTGTTTCTTTCGACTCTTCGAAGTACCTTGAGCAACTGAGGCGAGCCCGGTCTGTTTGACCGGCCGGGCCGCACGGCCCGGCACCGAGTCAGTACGCCGGAAGGCTGTCACCGCTACCGCCGCTCGGCAGGCTGAGCCATGAACGCAGCGGAGGCTCGGAGGCTTTCCGAGTCGCAGACTCATCGGACCGGCTGTCAGCCGACTGAGCATCGGACTCGGGCGGCTCAGCCTCCGAGCTCAGCCGAGTCATCAGACAGACGGTCAAGGTTCGGAACTTCCGAAGTTTGGAAGTTCAGAGAGTCCGACCTTCAGTCAGTCTACGGGCACTCGGTGCTGCTGCAAGGGTCATGATACTTGTCCGGCGGAAACTTTGACTGCCAGTCTGAACACAGAGTGTCGCTGCCTGTTTATTAGTTTAGGCTGCCATGATGCGGCGCAGCAGCTGGCGAGCCTGACCGCCTCCTCACAGAGGCTGACGGTCAGTCCTCCTCACACGACCTGAGTGACACAGGAGCAGCAGGTGGGCTTGGGAGCACTTCTCTTGCTCCGACGAGCTCCAAAGTTGCTGCAGAGAGGCATCAAGTTCTTCAAGAGGTTCAGGAGCGCGCTCCTCTCCATCACCGAATCCTTGATCCCTCGAGCCCTGCCGGAGTCCACGAATGACATGGAGTTGGTCTGCAGACAAGTTAACTATGTCGCACAACCACCACCACCACCACCTCCTCCTCCTCCTCTTCCTTTCCTCCTCCCTCCTCCTCCTCCATGATCTGGTCGCGCGAAAAGACAGAGAGAGCGGGTTGCCTGTCTCACCTGCTGATAGCCCTGGAGGTAATCCTGCACCTTGCAAGACGAGTTGACGATCATGCTGAACTTGTACATCTCTTCTAGAGGGACGGCGTCCTTGTCGACAACACAGTCCACTTGTTGGACCTGCATGTCATTTTCAGCACTCTCCTCTCCTCTCCTCTCCTCTCCTCTCCTCTCCTCTCCTCTCCTCTCCTCTCCTCTCCTCTCCATCAAGTTGTAGAGTTTGTGAACACCTGATTTGTTGAAACATCAAAGAATTTGATGCTGAGCACGCGAAAGCGACCGTCGTAGATCTTCTCTTGATGGGATTTGTTCTTAATGTTGTTGATGATCTTCGACTCGATGGAAGAGCCGTTCAATTGGTCGGTGCTGAACTTGAAGCTCATCTGGCCATGGTAGATGCACTTGGAGCAGCATGAAAGGCACCATATCCAGCAGTATCTACAGATGCAGCAGCAGTCGCAGCAGCAGCACTCGCACTTACAGTCCTTCGCCATGTTGACGTTGCGGAGGACCTTGAGCCTGTCAGATCGCTCGCACTTCACTCCTCCTGGTGTGAGGTAGTTGACGGGCACGGAGCTGACCTTGTCCTCAGCCTCTCGCACCCCCAAGTGCGAGTATGAACCAGAGTAAATCCTGCAGCATTGAAAGCAGCCGCAGCATCCAACGCAAGGGCACGAACACCATGTTGTTCCCTTCAAGGTCTCCTCAGCAGCTGCTTCCCACTTGTAGTTGCTCCAGAGGAAGTAGAGGTTCTTGTCCGTCAGCAGGACGCTGCCTGACCCAGCAAGCTCTTCCCCTGAGTTGGGGAATCCGATGAAGCCGACAGTAGTCAACTCTGCTATGACAGTCTCGTTGGAAGGAACGAGATTCCTGAGCATAATGTTGTCCTTGCACGACAGGTTGTTATGTACAGCCTGAGCCAAGTCCTGAGTCGCCATGACTCTCTCAACTCTCTCTTCTGGGAAATCTTCTTTGAATCTAGGGGTGACGGAGACTTTGGAGCCGTTCTTGCCAGCGATGCTCTCGACGAAAGGTCTCTTGATCCCTCCCTTGTCGTCGAAGACCTCTCCAGCACCAGCAAGAAGAAGCTCCTTGACTTCCTGCGCTTCACCTTGTCAAGCACGCGCTCTCCCTCTCCAGACTGAAGGGTCGTACCTGAGGTTGGAAGTAGGTCTTGAAGGTATCGTGCTTCAGCTTCTCTGCTTCCTTTGAGTTCATGGGAACAGCATCAGTGGAATCTTCGAAGACCAGTTCTCCTGTAAGCATCTTCTTTACAGCCGAGTTGGTTTCTGTGCAAGAGGGAAAGAAATCAGGAACTGCTCGGTGCATTGAAACTTTCTCTTCCTTGCAAGATCACCGAGATTCCAAGGCTCTCATGCAATCAGAAGATAAAAACAGCAGAGCACATTCAAGGAGTGCGAGCAGGAATGGAAGATAAAGCAGAACGTTCGTTGGTGATTACAAGTGATTCAGTGCGGGAGTAAGAAGCAACGGGGTTGCGAAGACATGACAAACTTGATGGCAACGAGGAATGGGGGGGGGATGAGGATCAGTTCAGTGAGAGCATTCAAGGGGCGGTGAGGTTGAGAAAGCAAGAATGTGAGAAGGAGAAGTCAAAAGGGAGGAGGGGACATGAAAGGAACGGGAGAAGGAGCCATGGAGGGGAGAGGAGAAGGAGCCATGGAGGGGAGAGGAGAAGGAGCCATGGAGGGGAGAGGAGGAGGAGCCATGGAGGGGAGAGGAGAAGGAGCCATGGAGGGGAAGGGAGAAGGAGCCATGGAGGGGAGAGGAGAAGGAGCCATGGAGGGGAGAGGAGAAGGAGCCATGGAGGGGAGAGGAGGTCAACGAGGGCTCTGATCGCAACCAGAGCTCTGACGGGTCAAATTCAATTCATCCCCACCCCCCACTCCCCCTACCACCACCCCTCCATCCCCTGTCACCCCACCGTTTCAAATTTTCTGCTGGGCTGGAAGCATGGGGTCTCGAAATCGAGTCTTTTGGTAATTTTACTACAGTACTCAACGGTCCGTCTTGCCGCGCGGCCGCATCCCGCAGAAACTCCGAGGGGTCGCGCTTGGCACTGGGCCCGCGTGCTGGGCCCAAAGGTCACGTCCCCCCGTGCCAAGTCTTGGTCACTGAGTCCGACGGTCACCGAGTCACGGTCCCCGCGGCGGCGGGCCCGGGACCCGGGCCCGGGTGCCTCGACACAGCAGCATACTGATAATACTGATTTTTCACTTAACTTTGAGTAAAAAGATAATGACTGATTTTACTCATCAAGTTACAACGGTAGTGCGACCTACGGCAGCCGCACTTTATTGGCAGTCTCAACACAGACAACACTGACACAACTTACACACATCACACGACTCAGTTAGACACACACTGTGACAGGAAGTTCGCACTGCCGCGCCTGCCGCGCAGTGCACAATAGCACATAAGACTCATACACACTCACACAACTTGACACAAAGTGGCTCGAAGGCTCTCGAGTCACTGCCAGACTCCTGAGTCGAGAGACTCGTGAGGCCGCAGTGGCTCAACACCGTGGCACGGAGCCTCGAGGGCCCGGGCCGGGCGACCGCGGCCCCGGCGCACTGTGACTGGCGGCAGCGGCGACTGGCAACAGGTTCGCAGCTCAAGTTCCGGGAGGTGAGCCAGGCTAGCAGCTGGGCGGTCCAGCTGATCTCACGAAGTGATCTCCTTTCCCAGCTCGACATCTGAACAGAACCCGGAAGCGTCAGTCACGTGACCTGCACGTTGTCGCTCCGTCAAGCTTCTCACCTTGCACCCCCTCGTTGGACACCGTCTTGGGCCCCTTCTGCTCCTCCTCCTTCTCTTCCTGCCTGCTCTGACCCCTGCTGTGTGAGGGCAAGCTTGTCAGCTGCTGCTGCTGAGAAGGAGGAGGAGGAGGTGATGGTGGTGGTGTAGAGGAGGAAGTGTAGAGCAGGCAGAGTAGAGGAGGTGGAGGTGGAGAAGATGGAGGATGAGAGGTGGTGGTGGTGGTGGTGGTGGTGCAGGTGGTGGTGGAAGAGGAGCAGGAAGTTGTTATACCGGGCCCAGCGCACCGCCAGGAAGGTCAAGCAGAGGACGACGAAGGCGATCAAGAATCCGAAACCAACCCAGGCAGCAGCTGAGATTTTCCTCTTGGACTTGTCCGGCTCGTAGAGGTCAGCTGGGGTGTAGCTGACGACCCAGCGGGAGAAGTGATCGGTCTCGACGGAGATGGTGGAGCCATAGACTTTGGAACCTTTCTGAGAGAATAGGAGTGAGGAGAGGAGGATGAGGAGAAGGAGATGGAGGAGGCGGTGGTGGTGGTGGTGACGGAGTAGGAGTAGGAGTAGGAGTAGGAGTAGGAGTAGGAGTAGGAGTAGGAGGATAGAGAAGATGGAAGAGGAGGAGAAGGAGTAGGAGGAGGAGGAGGAGGTGGTGGTGGTGGAGGAGGAGGATGAAGAGGAGGTGGTGGTAGTAGTGAACGGGGAGGAAGAGCATTCAAGTACCTGCTCCTTCCATGTCCTAGTAGCATCGTCGAAGTAGAGCACTTGGAGCTGGATCGATTTCCCTTGCAGCATCTCGGGGGGAAAAGCGAAGGTGAAGTTGAGGGTGACAGGCTTGAGGAAGCGAGCACCATGGGGGGAGAGTTCGAACAGCTGCGAGCATGGGGTGCCTTGTGTCTTCCTGCTGAGAAGATAAGGAAGGAGGAGGAGGAGGAGAAGAAGAAGGAGGAGAAGGAGGAGCAGGAGCAGGAGAAGGAGACAGAGGAGGAGAAGCAGGAGGAGGAGGAGGAGGAGGAGGAGGAGGAACAACGATGTTGGTGCGATGAAGTAAGGCAGCAGCAGTAGCAGTAGCAGTAGCAGTAGCAGCAGCGCCAACAACATTGACAAGAGAAGGAGGAAGAGGAGGAAGAGAGGGAGGGAGAGAGCAATCTCGTCAACCTGTCCTCTGCTGGAACGCTATCGAGCGTGAAGGCCTCGAGCATGATGGTCTCTTGGGAGGACAGCGCGTTGGGAGGGATGACTATCCACTGATGATCCCGAAGAGACACCTGCAGAAGGCAGTAAATCGAAAGGACCTCCTCCTCCTCCTCCTCCTCCTCTCCCTCCCTCCCTCCCTCCTCTCCCCTCCTCTCCTTTCGTCTCGTCTCATGTCTCTCTCCTCCTCTCCTCTCCTCTCCCCTGCTGCCACTACCTTTCCGCCCGCGGAGCCTACAACGGCGGAGGAGGCGATGGAAGGCTTGAGGGCAACTTCACACTTGGACCCGAAACGACGAGGGAGGCAGGAACATGTTCCCTCCTCTCCCTGCCAGCCTGTCGGCAGGCAAGACTGACAGCTGTCTCAGTAGAGGCTAGGAAGATGAAGGAGGGTGGAGGTAGATGAGGAGGAGGCAGGCGGGAGGACGAGGAAGAAAGGAGGCGGAGGAGGAAAGGGAAAACATGAAGATGTCAGCAGTGAGGAGAGAGGAAGAGATGAGATGAGATGAGATGAGATGAGATGGGATGGGATGGGATGAGATGAGATGAGATGAGATGAGATGAGATGAGAGGAGATGAGAGGAGCAAACAAGCAGCATACCCTGACACTTCCAGTCCTCCGCATGAACTCGTTCTCACACAGTAACAGGCACTTCTCTCCATCCTCTTTCTTCTGCGTGTGGCAGCTGGACGGGACGTACGACCCCATGGGCTGCTTCGGGAGTGGCAGACAGGAAGCAGGGACGTGCTCGCATCTGTCTCCTGCTCGAGGGGAGGGGCAGGAGCAGGTGAAACCTTTGCGAGCTCCTGTGTTGACACAAGTGCCTCCGTGCGAGCAGGGGTTGGGGAGACAAGGATGGCAGAAGAAACCTGAGAGGACGAAGACAAGTGAGATGGTGATGGTGGTGACGAGGATCAAGATGATGATGATGAGGAGGAGGATCAAGAAGAGGAGGAGGTGGTGGTGGAGATGAAGGTGGAGGAGTAGAGGAGGAGACAGAGTAGAGCAGCAGAGGAGCAGAGGAGGAGGAGGAGGAGGAGGAGGAGGAGGAGGAAAGGGGGAGGGGGGGGGGAGGCTAACCGGCCATGACAAGAAGGTCCTTGTTGACATTCTCACAGTCTAACCTGCATTTGACAAAGAGAAAGACAGAAGTCAAGAGAACAAAATCATCAATGAGATGTAGAGGTAGAGAAGATGGCAGAACCGAGCATTAGAAACAACACGATAAAAACAACCAAAAATATAACACCTCATCGTCATCGTCATTGTCTTCTTCATCATCTTCATCATCATCATCATCATCATCATCATCATCATCGTCGTCGTCGTCGTCGTCATCGTCATCATCATCATAACCCTAGCATCTTTCAGACTCATCCTCTCAGTCTCTCAACCTGTCCGGACAGGCCTCAGCTTCCTTGTCCGTCCAGTTTGCCGGGTTCTCCCCGACCCGCAGGCCCTCGAGCCCGGGAGTCCGAGCAAAAAGAGCAGAGCAGTTCTTTCCGTAGGAGTGAAAGATAACCATCCTCTCGTTGTAGTTCGTCATGTGAGCTGAGAAATCTGGCCGCTCTCCTACATCCACCCTTCTTCCCGTACCTGGGATCCCCACCTGATCCCTCACCTGGCACGTGAGGTTCCGAGTCCCCCAACAGCTCTCCCCCGGTGTCGTGCAGGCCAGGTTCAGCTGGGCAGGAGCTGGAGGAAGAGGTTGTTCGTCTTCCTTGCAGGCATCGTCCACCTGGATGTAGTTGACTTCCTTCGTCAGCGCGTTGACGAACCAGAGCCGGCAGGAGGCATCTTGCCCGCTGCTGCACTGGAGCTCAAGGCCGGTCACTCCAGCTGACCCCGTGCTGAACTCCCCAGGGTCTTCCCAGCTCGGTCGAAGGCGACGATCCTCCCCGTGTCATAGTCCGAGACGAAGAGGCGACCCTGAGGCGAGAGCGCGAGGCCTGAGGGAGACTGAAGGGAGGAGGTGAAGACCTGGGTCACCTGGTAAGAAACGCTCCCTGTCGACCTCTCCTCTCCCCTCCTGCTCTTGCTCTCCCCTGCCCTGCCCTGCCCTGCCCTGCCCTGCCCTGCCCTGCCCTGCCCTGCCCTGCCCTGCCCTGCCCTCTTCTCCTCTCCTCCTCACCTCACCTCACTCTCCTCCCCTCCCCTCCCCTCCCCTCTTCCCCCCTCCTCTCCTTACCTCAAACTCGGTGCATCCCCACAGCTCGTACTCGAACGAGTCGCTCGTCTCCGTGAAGGTCGTGTAGCAGCCCAGCCCGTCCTCCATGGCGCACGGCCCTCCCCGACACCATCCTGATGACGTCATCGGACCAAGACGGGAGAGCAAAAGACGAAGACGAGGAGGGAGGAAGCAGAGGAGGAGGAGGAGGAGGAGGAGGAGAGGTAGATGAGACAGCAGAGGAGGATTAGTTGGAAGAAGCAAATACAGGATACAGAGAGCGTTCCAGTGAGTAAGGGACGGGGACGGCCAGGAGGAGGTGGTGCTGCAGGAGGAGGAGCAGAACAAGGAGCAGAGCGAGGAGGAGGAGGGAGGAGGAGAAGGTGCTGCAGCAGCTGCTGCAGGAGGAGGAGGAGGAGGAGGAGGGCGGATCGCTCTGCTTCTTACCAGCCTCGCAGTTCATGTTGCAGATGTCTGGTCGGCATCCCGTGGCTGTTCCTCCACAAGTGTCGCTGGACTGACCCTCACAGAATTGCTCGCATTGCGACCTGAAGCACGAGAGTGAGAGAGTGAGAGTGAGAGTGAGAGTGAGAGGGAGGGAGGGAGGGAGGAAGGGAGGGAGGGAGGGAGGGAAGGTGAGAGGGAGAGAGTAGGGAAGGGCGAGGAGAGAACAAGGGAGGGAAGAGAGAAGGAGTGACATGCAAACGAGAAGAAGAGAGGGAGTAGACGAAGGAAGAGGGGTAGAGGGTAGAGGAAGGAGGAGGGGTAGGTTCAGCATGTCTAGCACTTGTTCTGGTAGGTAGTCGATCTATTTGTGCCGCATGTCCATCTGGAGTTGTGATTCCAGAAACATTCGTCCGGCACACACATCGCTCCTCGAAAGAACTTCCCGCTGTCCGCGTTCACCCGCAGCACCCGCTTCCCACCTGTTTCCCCCTCCCCACCGTTAGAAGCTGCGCAGGCTCAACGGACCTCCTTGTTCTCGTCCTCGCATGATTTCTCCCTTCCTCTCGCCACCACCACCACCACCACCACCACCTCCTCCTCCTCCTCCTCCTCCCCCTCCTCACCAGTGTCAGCAACGTAGACATGCCGCGCCTCCGCGTCGACCACTATGTGGCCGGGGACGTCTGAGCAAAGAGGTGAGGGGAGGAGGAGGAGGAGGAGGAGGAGGAGGAGGAGGAGGAGAAGGAGGAGGTCTCGGCGAGTACCGGCGCGACGGCTGATGTCAACATCGACGTACCGACGGATGTTGGCGAAGCGATGATCCATGACCTTGACACCATGCAGAGAGTCCTACATGCCACTTGCTGTCAGTCTCGCCCTCTTGTCCAAGTTTGACATCCTCTTTGTCAAACTTTCACATCCTCGTCAGTTCTCACTTACCATGTCAAATCGCATTAACTTGCCCCTCACGCCGTCCACATACCAGACGATGTTCCCTGGGACTCTACTTCTGTTCTGTACGGGAACGTTGAGGCGTGTTGGTCCTGTTGTGGCCTGAAGAGCTCAAGTCAGAGAGGGCAGGAAGACGTAGAAGATTGAGGGTTGACAAGTGCAACAAACTCGAGCACAAGCTGCGTCAGGCTCTACCTTGCTGTCATGGGCGATGCCAGTGCATAGAGGAGACTCGTGAAGCATGTCGGAGTGGATGACGAAGCACTGGGACGCCCCCTCGGAGCCAGGAGTGCAGTGGCTGCCGTCATGCGATACCATTTGGTTGTCGCAGCCTCCTCCTTCCTTCATCTTGCCATAGCCCCCCTCGCAAGGATAGACTTCGAATGCGCTCGGGCCCTGGAAGTAGTTGGGCCCCTGCGACCCCGCGTACGTGTTGGTGCTCTCCTGGCAAGTGAAGACAACCTTTCCTTGCTTGTCGAAGGATAGAGCCGCAATATTGTCCATGTAGTGGTACGCGGCGCGATCTCGCACTGTGAACGACCTCTGGTCCTTAGTGCCTGCGTTCTCAATGACGAAGAGCCCGCTCGACGTCGCGTCTTTCTTGTCCGCGCTCGCTACCCAGAGCTCGTTGGGTCTCATAGGATGGAACTGAATGTCTCGGGGGGTAGCGAGGCCTTTCGTGCTGCTCGCTACTGTCACGATCGTTCTTGCGGAGCCAAACGGGGGGACGCAAGAGGAACTGGCGCGGGGGAGGGCATGAAGGAGGAGGAGGACGAGAGACAGGACGAGGCTCTCGCGCCATATCTTGCTCGCTGCGCCCAGGGACAACATGGGGAACTGCAAGGAGACGAAAATCAGAAGCTATCATTCCCCGCGGCAGGCTCCCACCCTCAGCCTGCTATCGGGCTTCACTGTTTCCCTCCTGCTCTTTTTCATCATCCATGTATCACTCTCCATGGTCACTCCTGCCTTACTAATCTCATCTGAAACTTCCTTCAGACAGCGAATAACTGGAGTATGCGCGGTACCAGAGAGAATCTCACAACTAACCACCATCATCCTCCAGTCCTGGACTAACTTGCGGACCTGAATGATTTTTTCTTATGTCATTTCAGCTTGTATGGTTTTTGAACAAGATGGTTTGTGTAACAAACACACATCTGCCCTCCTCGCTCTATCCCTCAGTTCCTTTCTCCCTCTCCTCTCCTCTCCTCTCCTCTCCTCTCCTCTCCTCTCCTCTCCTCTCCTCTCCTCTCCTCTCCTCTCCTCTCTGAGCCTGTCTCCTCCTCTGTCAAGGCTGGATCAGTGACTCTCCCCCCAACCCACACCAACTTCACTGGCTCCGCCATTGTCCTTTATAACTTTGACCCCGGTAGAAAAAAAGAATTAGTCAATTGTCAAACTTGTAAGCCGCCGCGCACGTTGCGGCTGCCGTAAAACTTCTTTACTCAAAGTTAAGTTAAAGATCAGTACGAGGACAATCAGGAGAGTCGAGGAGGCTTGACCCTGACACTGTCGCACAGGCCAAACGGCGAGAAGAGAAAAGACAGCGAGAACCAAACCCAATCCTGCCGACTGCTGTCCCCCAAACTTAACTGATACCTCCGTAAAACAGTCCGGGCGGCGAGGACCCGGTGACCCGGTGCCGCAACGGTCAGTGACCGCCGGGCCCCGGCCCTCCCGGTGGCCCCGGTGTCAGACGGTACCGGGGCCCGGCCTGCCGGCTCGGAGAGTCCGATCTTTTACTTAAAGATAAGTTAAAAACCAGTGAGGCTCGTCACCGTCTCCGGGCCCGGCGGCCCAGCCTGAGTCCAGCGGGCCGCCGCGCGGGTGACCGCCCGGGGCCTGAGCTGCTCGCCGGGGCGGGCTCACAAGGCGGCCCGGCGCCGCGACAGTCATGATCATTTTGAGTTGAACATTTGAAATATATTAATCAAATTTACAAATTTTCCACTTTATTTCAAATTTTAAGATTAAATTTCATTTCATGTGATTCAAACTGATTGACAAAAGAGCAACAACGCTTTGTTGACCGACGGGTGGGTGCTCCGGTCAAAAGGGTGGGTAACCAGTTAGAGGAATAGGGGGTGGTCCAACCTCTTCATCACCGGTGCAAGGTTCCTGAAGTTCTGTGTAGTAAAGGGGGGTGGGGCGTAACGAGAAAGGAGGGGGGGCCTTTAGAGAGGGGGTAGGGGTACACTTGCAATGGGTAGGTACGAACTAATACAATAAAAGGAGGGGTTGGGGTGGTATGAAGGGGATCACAAACATACCAAGTACCAGGTGTTTTTCACTCAGGAGTAGGGGTATATCGAGAACCAATGGGGTACAATTGAATATCAAGTACCCCGGCACTGATGTTCCCATCTTTTCCTGGTACGGGTGTAATGACAGTGTATTGGAGGGGTGGTATGTGGGTTTACTAGGAAGGGGGGTGTAGCAAATGGGGTGGGTGGGTAGTCTGCTGAAGAATTTTATGGTTGCAGGGTGGGTGTAGTAGACTGCGGGTAGGTAGCATAGAGGGTGATACGCCCGGCAGGTGAAGGTGGGGTGGGTGGTGCTGATTTTAACCGGGGTGAGGGTACCAGATATGCACACGAAAACCTCGAGGTAGGTGGGTGATATTGCTGAGTAGGGGTATTTCTCCCAGGGATATTTGTAGTAGATAGGGGTGGATATATGGGTTCGCAGGTGGTTTTCTGGAGGTAGGGGTGGGGATGTAGGGTTCTGGAGTCGGGGTGGGGTAGGTGCATTGAAGGTGGAAGCCATGCAGGCCGAGCGCTTGAGGAGGCAAAGGAGGAGGGAGGAGGAGGGAGAGGAGGAGGAAGTGAAGTATGGAGGGAGCAGTTGAGAGAGATCCAAGGTAGGATGCGTTTCGAGGGACGAGGAGAGATATGACAAGAGCCTGACTGCCCCAACAAACTTCTTCGTCTACCGATTTGGTTCCTGCGTTGGTAAGGGAAGAGGATCCCCCAGTAGGCAAGTCGCAGAGTGAGGATGGCGTGTTCGGTGAACTAGAGAGTCAAAATGAATATGCGCGAACGAGGGATGACGGGCAGAGCTGATCATGGCTCAAGCAGGAAGAAGTTTTCTGTTTGCTCTTGCAGAATCCCAAATTTGAAGATACTTGATGAAGAGTTCAAGATGAGTGGGTTGTGGGGGAGCTCAAGGGATTCGTTGTCAAGACCATGAATTTGGGACAAGATTGTCACATAAGATCGAAGTAGAGATGTTTTGAGAGGTATACCTTGTCATAAAGAGCTGTTGAGGTATCCGCGTATTATCAAGGAAGGGTATACTAAGACATGCTAGTGGATAAGATGGTGTCTGAGCGATGTTTCACGTTCACCACTTGAGCTGCTGACTGCTGCTCATGGTCTGAATGGGTCTTCCAGGCAGAGTGTGTCTCAGCTTTCACTCGATGAGCCGGATCCTCGGTGAGTGAACGTATCTCACAGATATATACCGCTAGCGGGCCGACTGCTGAGACCTTGCACAGGTAGAGGTGAAAGCAACATCTCCAGCCCATAGCTGTCTGATAGCAGCTCTTCAAAACATCCGAGGCTGATCGTTTGCTCTACCCGAACTGGACAATGACGAGCAAGATATTGACTTCAGGGAGGGGCAGTCTGTTAAGTGCAACACTGCCACTACTTGGCTGAAGCAGAGGGACATTGGGTTAAATGTCCACCTTATCTCTTCCCTCTGGCCGATCGCCTGGAAGCAAGGACCTGGGAGCTCTTGAGATCCAGTTCAGTAGGCTCAATTTCCATCCGTATGGGGATGGTAAGCTTTAGTATTAATTCGTATACAGTTGCATTGACATGTTGATGTAGAAGACAAGAGCAAATCGAGCTCGAAGGGCAATTCACAAAGTGAGGGAAAGGTCAAGGTGATGATTCCTGAGCTCACAGGCCCTTCCCCTGTTTTCATTTTCTGAATAATGAAAACAGTCTAGACTTCTTCTCAAGGCTTCTGTGAGCCTTCTCGAAGTTTACAAGACTTGTCGGTGAGTAGTGTTTGAGCATGAGGGTAGCGATTTCAGTGGAAGCCGTAGGGAATGCAGCTGTTCACTCTTGATGGTAGGTCGGATTTTCGCTACCAAACAAGTTTGAACCCAAAGAGATGCCTCACAAAGCCCTCGGAAATCGAGGGGGAGGGGCACGACAACAGAGAAGCTGGTTTGCCTGCCAAGGAATCGAAACTTTCTTTGACGGACGATGTGTGATTAGATCTTGTGATTTATGTGAACGATGAGCTGGTTTCTTCGACATCTGGGTAATGAGTCCAGGGCGCCTTGTTGTGTGTGACAGTTCTCCTAGTCGCAAGTATGTTGTGATCGACAAGCTGGGGCAAGGGACCTTTGGACAAGTGATTCTTCGGTGACATAGTGGAATTGTAATGACAATTGTTTTAGGTGGTGAAATGCCTCGGGGAAAATGATGAGCACTTTGCTGTAAAGGTACAAGAATTTAAGCGCGATGACTCAGTCGGTGGTAAAATGTGCTACTTAGATTGTCCGGAACAAACCAGCGTACACGAATCAAGCCCTGGTTGAAAACATGATCCTTTCAATTGTAAGATTTTGAGCGTTGATGGAATTCTATCCAGATGGTTCAATTAATATGTACTTGTAGATCAACCAGGACAACAGCAATCATATTGTGAAGTATTATGAGGTTACCGATGCAAAGAGAATCAATTTATGTCCTGATAGCATTTGCAGTGTTTTACGCACAAGAATCATCTTTGCCTCGTGAGCAAAATGAATCTCTTTGCAGTCTCGAATCATTGGTAACATAATCTCTAGGTCACTGAACTTCTGAGTGTGAACCTATACGAGCTTCTACGTCAGGTTGACTCCTGTGCTCGAACGTCTAGAGATTGTAGCAACTTATTTGTGTGTTGCAGAATCAATTTCGTGGTCTGTCCATGAACTTGATCAGAGTGATTCTCCGTCAGGTAGATTGACGTCGGGTTTTAGCGAATTGTGACGGTTGATTTCCTTTCCTGGACGACATCCATTGCCTGCCACAGTGCTTGGACGCTTTAGCAAAGCTGACTGAGCGAGACATCGTCCACTGCGATCTCAAGGTTGTTCTAGCATCTTGTTCGTGTAGGCTGTTCTTACTCTTCACGTGTGAAGCCCGAAAATATCATGCTCAAGGCGATGACGTCTCCACAAATCAAAGTGATTGATTTTGGCTCTGCTTGTTTCGTCAACCAGGTCTTTCAAGGCCGCGGTCCTTATCGTCGGCTCACTTTTCCTCACACAGGCAGTCTACACTTACATTCAGTCAAGATTCTACCGATCGCCAGAAGTTCTGCTTCGCCTGCCTTACTCTAGTGGGATAGACATGTGGTCACTGGGATGTATCGGAGTTGAGCTCTTCCTCGGCCTGCCTCTTTGGCCGGGAACGTCAGAGTACAATCAGATGTGCAAGATAATCGAGTCACTCGGGATGCCTCCAAAAGAGATGCTGGACAGGGGGAAATGGACTGATCGATTCTTCAATCGATTCACCGACGAGCAGGGGAGGATGGTTTACTCTCTAAAGACACCACAGCAGTTTCAGGACGAAAACGACTGTGAATTGCCAAAGGACAGGAACTACTTCAAGTTCAAGATGATCCATGAGCTGATTGAACATTACCCGTTCAAGAAAGGCCTCTCGCCGGAGGAGCTGGACAAAGAGAAAGTCATCCGGCAGAAGTTTGCTCATTTCTTGAAAGGAGTGCTCGTATATGACACGTACTCGAGATGGACGGCAAAAGAGTGTCTGCAGCATCCTTTCTTCACCTCACAGGAGCACGACCCCAGCTGGAAGCCAGACAGGTCGGAGGAGAGTGGAACCCTCCCGCAGATGATTTCGCATCCTCATGGCAACTTGCGAGCCCGAGCCCGAGAGCACTTCAGCCTGCATGGCTTCTGCGTGCATGGGTACCCCTTGTCGTTCCATGCAGACGGAGCCTCTTGGCCTGGAATCCCTCCGATGCATGCGGGAGAGTGGTGCAACTGCTCCAAAGGCTACGGCGAGACCTTCGGCCGCACATCCTCGCTCCTGCAAGCGAGTCCTGGCGGGACCATGTATCCTCCCTGGGCTCCTGGCAGCATCGGGCAGCAACGAGGTCTCCCCATGCACAGCCCAGGGTCAGCAGCGTTCAATCCAGGCTCGAGCCCAGGAGTAGCTTCTGGATTCTGGATGGCGCAGGGGATGGGGGTGTTGGGAATGGCGTCGAACAAAGGGAGTGGGGGGATGAACAAGTCACCTTACGGTTCGCCGACTGACAACTCAGTGCTTGCTGCTCTCTACCAGTAACATGCACTTGCCGTCTCTCTCCGTTGCTGACCTCCTCCCCTCCCAGTCAACATGGCGTCGGGTCTCACCCACACTCATCGTCTTGGAACGGCGGGGGATGGAGCGCACAGCCTGCCTCACGTCCCTCGCACCATCATGTACGTGCTGGAGGTGATGTCACCCCTCCTCCTGACTCTCCGTTGGCAGCTGGACGTAGCTGGCTCCAGCCCACATTGGAACCACACACATGGACACCATGAGGAGGACGGGCCTCGTTCCCCTAACCACATGCCCCGGTCGTCTCGGGCTCGGAGGAAGAAGCACGTATGTTGCCCAGCACGAGATGTTAAGGGTTGACGAGTGGCAGGAGCGGAGGAGCAAGGAGAGGAAGGAAGCAGGTTCTAGTCATCCCCAGTCATCCATAGAAGGGGAGCACGAAATCGTCAGGGAACATGGGTTTCATGTCAAGAATCACTTCCACGCCTCCAGGTACCTTCACCTCTCTTGTCATCAGGCTCTCTGTTTCGCTGCGGCCCCTTCTCCCCTCTCCTCCCCTCCTCCGTCCCCTGCACTCCCTGGCCTTCTGCCATTCTTGTCTCCCCCTCCTATCTCGCAACTTCCTCTACCTCTCCCCCTTCCCTCTATCTCTCCCCCTTCCCTTCCGCCTCTCCTGCCGCCATTGTCGCCCCCCCTGAGAGAGAAGCTGGCAGGCAGCCGTCAAGCGATTCCAAACGCGAGGGAGGGCATCACAACTCGCATTACACCGCCGACTTGGACGACAGGTGTTGAACAATCTCCGTCTCCGTGACCTCCTGCCCCTTCTCTCCCTCTCTCCCTCAATCTCCATCCTTTAATCCATCTCCGTCTCCTCCCCCTCCCGTCGCTGCCTCTCACGGCCAAGATCAGTTGTGGAAGCAGCCTGACAGACTCGCCTCCCTCGCCTACTCCCCTGCAACTGGACCACGGAGGCCTGTTCTCCATGGACGAGGCAACATGACTGATCGACAGGTCTTTTAACATCGGACTGATGAATAAACATGTTGGTCAAGGTACTGCCTGGAGACCGCTAACATATCTCAGCAGTTCTCTCCCCATGCCGAGATAGGCGCGAGAGGACTTCCTCCTCGTCCTCACCAGCACATCCATCCAGTATTGCCTGTCATGGACCCGCCGCAGTAACGCGCGTCTGCTCGGTCGGTGTCTGCGATCACCTGCACTCCTCGTCACTTCACTAGCGAGCCCCTGCTCCTTCCGCTCCTCACCTGCTTCTCCTGCGCCATCATCTGCTTGTACGCGTTCTTGCCCAGAGCTCTCCGCTCGTCGGCATCGATGCCTGTAGTCGCCGACATCAGCTGAGTCGTAAAATCGCCTGCTCCACCCCCCAGCCTCCCTCTCCGCTCTCTGACTCTTTCTTGCTCCTCCCACTCATTGCCTCGCCACTTGGATCCCTGCCTTATTACTATCTCATCTCCTCATCTCATCTCTTCATCTCATCTCTTCATCTCATCTCTTCATCTCATCTCTTCATCTCATCTCCTCATCATCATTCCCATGTACTATCGCAGTCTTCATCCTTCAAATCCTCTTACTCTCATTCCATTCCCCTTTCTGAGATTTTCTTTGCAGGGAATTCCTCCTTCCCAATCATCACCCTCGTCCTCGACCCTGCCCTCGACCACTGCCTCAACTTCGTCCTTCCCTTCATCCTCGTCCTCATCCTCGTCCTCGTCCTCGTCCTCGTCCTCGTCCTCGTCCTCCTCCTCGTCTCACCATTCCCGGCGATCTTCTCCTTCAACAACGAAAGCATCTCCAAGTGTCAGGTTGCACCCCCACCCCCTCAAGTATCACCAAACAACCCCACCCTCTCTCACTGATTACCACTACCCGTCCGTTTCTCCTTTTCATCACCGGGTCTTTGGATGGACCCCCCTCACCCCCCTTTTGACTCAATACTACCCCACCCTCTATCTCCTTTCAACGGACATCATCGACCAGCAATGTCGGGAAAAGCGATCAGCGAAAGTTTCGACACTTACACGAAGATGTGAGATGATGATGATGATGATGATGATGATGATGATGATGGAGATGATGATGATGATGATGGAGATGATGATGATGATGATGATGATGATGACGATGATGATGATGATGATGATGATGATGATGATGATGATGATGATGATGATGACGATGATGATGATGATGATGATGACGACGACGATGATGATGATGATGATGATGACGACGACGATGATGATGATGATGGAGATGATGACGATGACTAGCCGATGAAATTTTGAAAGCTGTCAACGGTGTTTGTCGGACTCGGTGACCCCCTTTTTATGGTTATCCAGGTACCCACAAGTGCAGGCAGCGATAAACTTTGCTATGAAGGAGTTGATAGCTAAGGTACGGATCCCTTGCCGCTCTTCCACCCTTGCCGCTCCTCGTGCTCACTTGAACCTCTTACCTCTTCTCTTACTGTCAGAGACCGGCCGATCCTTTCTCTTTCCTATCAGAGAAGCTAAGGGAGGCGAACATTTTCATCAAGGTCGAGGCGATCCACATGAGGAATTGTGCCATGAAGATTCAAGCAAGGGTTCTCTGCCCTCCTCTTCCTGCCCCCTGGGCTGATCCCTCGAGCGTGCAGGCCCGGGGCATGAGGGATCGGCAGAAGGTGGCGCGGCAGAAGGAGACCAAGGCGAAGGAAGCAGCAGCTCTCAAGATTCAGAGCCGTCAGCGGGGGATCAAGGCCAGGGAAATGTGAGAGGAGGGTGGGAGGGGATCCTGCCTGAGGCTTCAGGGGTTGCAGAAGCAAGCACAGGAGGAGCAACATGCTCGTCTGGTTGTACGGGCTCTTCGAGAGGATACGAAACAAGCAGGTGCTGCTAACAGCAATGTCTGCCCTCTTTCCCTGCTGCTGCTACTTTACATAATCATGTTTATGGACGAGCAGGGTGTGGAGAGTCAAGTCCTGATGAAGTATTTGCAATGGTGCATCCAGCCTCCTTCCTCTCAACCGCTGACTCTTCTTCTTGCCAGTGACCCTGACACCGTCCAGTCCCTCGACCTTCCCAGAAAGTGCGAGGGCAGGAGGCAGGAGGATGTTGGCTCTTACGTCCTCTCTCGCAGATACTACACGTACCCTAGCTTCTTCCAACAAAATGCCACCGCAGCCATTCCTGTCCTCGCAGAGACTCCATCCAAGGTTCGTCTACCTCGACACCTGACTCCTCCTCCTCATTCTCCCTGCAGACTCTTGACTGGAGTGACTTCTCTGCCCTCTTCGGTCTGAGCCCAGAAGAAGCAGAGGAGACGCGCAAGCAGCATGCGGCTGTGCAGATCCAGGCAACTTCGAGCATCTCAGAGCTGCGGGAAACTGACGGGGAGGGGCGGTGCAGGCGATTCAGCGAGGACGAAGGACGAGAGAAACGATGAAGAACAAGTAGCCGCATGTAACAAGAGGAGAAGAACTTCCTAGAAGTAGAAGGCTCTTCCGGACGGGACGCCGTGCGCGTTCTGTAGAATGAGATGTCAGAGCAGGAGAGGGAGGGAGGATGGAGACAAAGAAGGAGACGAGGAGGAAGAGAAAGAAGGGGATGGGTTGGAAGAGCAAAAGGAGGAGAAGGAGGAGGGAAGAAGAGGAGGACTTCGTGGTCCATACATGGACGGGCTGGGGTTCGATCTTGGCATGGTAACGAGGGCTCTCTACTGGAGGCGTCAGGCACAGAGCTAGCTGTATCTCACGGCGCGTCACCTGCGATCACGCACGTCGTGTACGGATCTCGCTCCTCCCTCTCCTCCCGCCTGGGCTGCGCAGGAGCCGTCATGTAGTGCTGCGGGACGTTGTGGGCGACCCGGGGAGCCATCTGACCCTGCCATGTCCGCGTCAAGAGCAGCAGAGATCCCCCCTCCTCCTCGTCCCTTGGTTGTCCTGCTCCTCCTCTACCTCACCTGCACTGCTCTGTTGAACGTCTGGTTGATGTTCCCGAGCAAGTTCACTCCCGCGCTCATCCAGGCTGCCTGCAGGGACTGGGAGGGAGTGAGGGAGGAGGGGGCGGCAGGGAGGAGCAGGGGACCTGAGGGAGCGAAGATCTCTGACCCCCAGCATCTTCTTGCATCCTGAACTGCCGGAGGAGCTGAGGAGGAGGAGGGCCGCTGACGGGGCGGGGGACGGCAGAGGGGATGTGCATCCAGGACCTGACGTTGTCCTCCAGCGACTGACGCGCCGACTGGTGGACGTTGGCGCTAGTCTGGAAGCGACCGAAGGGGTGGAGTAAGAGACCTTGTAGCCGACGAGCTCGGTCTGCGCCAGGGAGGCGAAGTGGCGGATGATCTGAACGCAGATCCTCATGTTGGGGGCGCGGAAGAGGTTGAGGCGGCAGAAAGAGCCGCCGGGGCAGGGCGTCCCCTCCATGAGCCTTGCGCACTCCTGCAGAGACAGTCCTGCGAACACAGCAAGTCACACCGACCCTGCACCTCCTGCCTCCTCTCCCTCTGTTCCTTCTTCCCACCTTGCAGCCACACGTTGTCGACAGCCTCGATCACATCCTCGACCATGAGCTGCTTAGAGAGGAAGGCGGGGCCATTGGGGTGCATCCCAGCTATCCGAACCCTCTCCGAGTGGTCCCTCGAGACCTGCAGGCCCAGGGAAGGAACGTCGAGGCTGTTCGGGGGGCCGGAGGAGCGGATGCTGTTCTGCGAGGAGAGGAGAGGAGGCATGTTGTAGCTCTGCACGTTCTCGATCATCTGCTTCATACGCATCTCAAGTTTGCTCCTCAGCCTCATGTTGGAGTGAGTGAGTGGCAGGGAGCTCCCGATCACGCACTCGTAGTTGAAGATGGCCTCTGTGAGGAGAGCACACGCGTACTTGAGCTCGGAGAGGTCGATCAGGTCCTTGAACGCTGCCTCCAGCCCAATCTGCGTCGCCTGCTCCAGCTCTCGCCTCGCCTCCGTCAGCCTCTTGCTCCTGCGGCTCTGCGTGAGGGCAGCAGACTGCACGTCTGCTAGCTGGGGCCTTGCAGGCACCATCAGCTCGGGGATCACAGCTCGCTCCGCCAGGATCTCTGCGTTGACCGCAGCCGTTGGCACTCCCGCGTGAGGCTGCGACGTCGACGAGTCAACCTCCGGGGAGGCGCCGCGGTGCCGGAGGATGGACGCGGCCTTGACGATGGGCTGGGAGATCCGACGGTCCAAGGACTGCCTGATCTCCGACGAAGTGTTCCCGTAGAGGTCCTGCTCCTCCAGCTTGCTCGAGCCCATCACCGTCTGGATCCGCCGCTCCACAGCCTCTCGGCTGTCGAGCTCCTCGTTGAAGGACCTCCTGAGCGACCCGGCGATGCTCGTTGGAGTCTTGACAGGGACCCAAGTCGACTGCGGCGTCTCTGACCGCTGCCTCTGCTCGTGCCCCTCAGCTCCCATCGGCGACATGGACAGTCTCATCCCAGCGCGCGGCTGCTGCTCAGCCTCCCTCGCGCTCTCTGCCCCACCCGTCGCTCCCATCACTGTCTCGACCCGACGCTCCACAGCCTCTCGGCTGTCGAGCTCCCTTGCCGCCCCGATCATGCCTTGCAGTCTCAGTCCTGCCAATCCACCTGCCTCCTCCTCGTCCTTCCCCGTCCTCATCTCAGCCCTGTCTGCGCTTCCTGGCGCGTCAACCTGGTCGGCGGCTGAGGGGCTGACGGTAACGGTGAGGGACTGGCACCAGTCGTTGACGAAGGAGGAAGCGCCGCTGCCGTCAGAGGATGCATGCGCGTCTACCGCAGGAGAGCTCTCCCTTCCCGCCTCCCGATCTTGGAAGATCGAGACAGTGTCAATGCCCTTCAGCAGCCTGTCGATTCCATGCAGGATGTCGGTCAACTGTTTCGTGGCATCCGAGGCCTCCACGGTGGCTCGTTCCCTCACCAAGTGGTTGGGGGTGGATCCGACGCTGCTGATGGTGACGTCATGGGTGTAGGTCTTGCCCTCCTGTACCGCAGCCATCACAGAGAGCAGGCACGCAGCTCGAGGAGGGGGAGTTTGAGCTGGAACAAGCCTTGTTACCTTGTTCATGGCGGCGGAGCGGTCGCTGAGGCCAGCCCGATGCTCCTGCCTTGCAAGACTTGCGTTCCTCGGGGCGGACGCGTTGACGATGTTCTCCTTTACGGCCTCAAGTATCCCCTGCTGTTTGAACTGATGATCGAGACTCTTGACAGGCTCAGAGAGGTCCTGCATGGCAAGGTCAAGAGCGCGTGCGAACCAGAGGATTTCTCCCTACCTGATCGAAGCGACTTCGGTTCTGACGCATTTCTGCGCTGCTGCACTTGATGAAGATGGAAGGAGTTGTCATCTGCTTCGCAGGACAAGGCGCTTCTGAGAGTTGTACAGCAACCTGAACAGAAGCCACGTGTCATCCAGGGCCGATCAAAAGACGCAACAAGGTTTACAGGAGATCGGTTTGAGAAGGTCTCGTGCATGGTCGAACTGTTTGGTGGCAAGAAAAAATCGAGTTGTCCTGCCATGGCAGACGATAAGACCTTGAAAGATAAGAGGAGCGACAAGTCTCAGGGTATGATGAGACGAGTTGATTGGAACATGCAGTCGAGAGACAAGATGAAATCCAAGAGTTGAAGATCATTCGGCATGAGCCAGGACATGAAGTTGAAACATTGAAATGAAACAGCAAGTTGCAAGACATCGGAAATCTCTTGACATCAGAATCGTTTGAAATCTTTCCTTCTCTTCATGTTCTCTTGCTTGCTGTTCTACACCAACCCTGTTCAAACAAGTTCACCCCTGACTTCCTCTATCCTCTGAAACTTTCATCCCCTTGATCCCTGCTTCGTCCTGCTCTTCTCTATTTTTCTCCCCTGACTCTCCCTGCCTGTATCACTCTCGCTCCTCTCTCCTGCCCCTCTCTCCCCACTTCCTTCCTCCACTCCCTTCCTCCCCATGTACGCCTGCATGCTCGCATGCCTACCTCCCATCCTCCTTGCTCTCTCCTCCCCTCTCTCCCTCCCTCTCTCGCATCTTTCTCGCTCCCTCGTTCAGCATCCCCTGTTCGGCTTCGTTCCTCTCGCCATTTCGGCGCCTTCCGAATTCAGAAGGGCCGTACACAGTTGAAGGGGAAAGGTACCTTTAAGTCCCAGGAGGGTGGGGTGATACCAGGTACCCCAATCTTGTAATCGTTTGTCTCCAATATTACGTGGGTAGTATTGATAGGAGATCTTATTGTAGGGGGTGGGGGTGATGGAAGTGAATCTCGAGGAGGGGTAGGTCATACTTCAATGACGGGCCTATTAGCTAAACCCTCCAAGATTTGAAATTCAAATTTTTGAACAAGGCGGGTATGAAGCGTGTAACGGTACGGTAGCTCCGATGGTTTTTCAGTCAACCGTTCGTCAAGTTGCATTCACCGTCTACTACTACTCCCACTACTGGTGATCATCGGATTCAGCCCGGCTGTCCGACGGTCCGGGGAGTCCGTCAAGGCTGAGAGTCCGTCACGGTCTTTGACACTTCAGCCCGGGCCCGCGGCCCTCGGCCTGGCGAGCAGTCATCAACTTGCCAAATTGATGCAAATGCTGGAGATTTTCGTAGTCCCAGTGCCCGTACAATCTGCTTACAATCGGCATCTACCGTGACTCGAGTTGAACTTCAACCAACTTGCAACTGGAGGGTAGTCCGTCACTGACACTGACTGGCAGTGGTGCGCTGACTGTACGCGTGAAGACCCTTCGGATGAGTCCGGCTGGCAGCTGGGGGGCAGCTGGTGTAGAAGCCTGATAAAGCCATGAAGGCTCGGAAGTGACCGTCGGTAAGGACTTGTGCCGGGTCGGACAAGCGCCGCGCGAGGTAGCTGCAGATGAGAGCAAGGAGAGAGGAAGGCAGGAGGGGGTACAGGAGAGAGGAGGTGAGCTGAGTTGAGAAGAAGCCTCGGAGGGCAAAGAGGGAGACAAGTAACAGAGCACCAGGCAAACGATCACATTCAAAGTGCTGCCCATGACTAGCTATGTAGCTCTATGGTTCCGAGCAGCCATAAGCCTTTCGCTGCGCTATTCCCTTTCCTCGGCTCATTCCGAAGCCGTTACTGGTTGTCAGTCTCCTCGAAGCCGACGCTCCTGCCCCTGCTGCTGCTGCTGCTGCTGCTGCTGCTGCTGCTGCTGCTGCTGCTGCTGCTGCTGCTGCTGCTGCTGCTGCTGCTGCTGCTGCTCAGTTGACCGAAGGCTGCATCGGTGCCCCAGCATCCATGATGATCTTCTTGAGCTGCCACGACCGTTAGGTACAGATGGAGTAGATCACTTGGAAGACGAGATCCGCGACTTCATACCTACTGCTGATCTCTGCTTC